TTTTCCAAAGTTCATAACTTATCTAGCATACATGGGAACTTTTAAACATAAAAGCTAGTAAGAAATACATACCTTTTGTTGCTTTGATTCTTGAGAACCTTGTGAGCCTAGCACCTCAAGTGTGATGCCTTAAATGTCTCACACAACACCAAATACACTTGGAATAACCTTGAGAGAAATAGAACACTTCTAAAATCGGCTATGTGCTCTTGTTCTCACTAGGTGCCGATTTTGGTTGCTCTCATATTCCTTTTATAGTGTGTCATAAGTAGGGTTACACCATGTAAACCCTAACTTGACATGACTCTTCATTTCCATGATTCATGGGTTCAAAAACACCATGGAGCATCCATGGAGCATCTTATGGGTTTTAGCCCAACTTGATAATCCATGGAGCATTAGCCCACTATACAAGTATGGGTGATTTACACAATCAACCCATATATTTAATTAGTCTTTTTTTGATCACTTAATTAATTCCAAACTAATTCTTGATCAATACTAATTAAATAATATTATTAATATATTAGAACTTATAATATATTAATAAACCTTACGTGTTATTTCTCTCATTTTAGTCTATCCAAATGCATGATGTCATGCAACCCAAATGGACCATGCTAATCGGGTCGATTACATTCCGGAAAGTGCAGGTTTGCCCAAGGTGGTTGCGTATGACGGTTTGAAGTGCTCGGGATTTTTTTTAAACAAAGTTTGGGGTGTGCTTTGAACAAAGGTTCAAGGATTAAGGGCGTTTTTAGAAAATTGGATTCAGCCATCCACAGAAGAAAAAAAATAAATAAAATAAACAAACAAACAAAAAAAAAAAAAAACAAACAAACAAAAAAAAACAATGCAAACCAGAAAACCTCAAGATGATGGTGATTCAACCATCAACAAGCGCGCGTACAAAATAACACAAGATACCAAATCTTGAAATAAAATTAAGGAACAAAAGAAACCACACTCATCATCTTTGATTATCACAGAAGTTGTGATGAAAATAAGCCTACACACTTTTATTTAACGACCACCACCACCACCACGATGGTTGCGAATACCAACAGCTCTTGATGCCATTGCCCTCAGATTCACTGTAGCAGTTGCAACCGAGTTTCTTCTCCCTTGTTGTTCAGACCCTCCAAACGCACCCATGAACTCCTCTCTCTGCAATCTCAATGCCAAAGCCGCATCCTCATCTTGCTCCGGTGGTGCCACCACCACCACCTCCCGCCTCCTCCTCCTCCTGCTCACGCTATTATCTCCGGCTGCTCCACTGTTCAGTAACACCACAGAGGCAGGACGAAAGCTCTGTTGTTGTCTCAGATTATGATGATGGTGGTTAACAGTCCTCCGCCTCCTTTCCAAGCTTAGCTGTTCTCCTTCAGGACTATTTAACGCCTCAACAACACTCCGGTATTGGCTGTATGGTGTTCCATAGGACTGTATTGATGGTGCACGATCTTCCATTGCTGGAACAAAGTCACAAAATCAAAGAATCCATTAGAACTACAAATCTGTAAAGAGGATTCTAATTGAAACCTAAAATTGGCGCCGTAGTGTACCTTATAAGCTGTCTGCATTTTGGGCATTTTTTTCCGCATTTATCAGCAGCAGATCTCAGACATTTCTTGCAGAAACTACATCATTTTGAAAGCAAAATTAAAACCCTAATGTAAATCGGGTGTCTTTTTATTGATAGATTAACAAGTTATGATCTTTACCTGTGCCCACAAGAAGTGGTGCTTGGTTCGAAGCATATTTCTAAACAAATCTGTGGAGAAAACAAATATATGTTCAAACCGATAGAAGAGAGAACAAAATAGAACAGTAGGGAGATATGATCTTGCTACAACTTACTGCACAAGAGAGTTCTTCACGAAGTCGGTCAATGCATGCAATGGAAGAGCTTTCTGACGTCGATTCATTTGATTTCTCATCCTTTTTACTGTTAATATCCACAAGAATCTTCTGTTCTTTCTTCTCTTCTACGATTTCTGTTAATTTATTACACTCAAATTAGGGCTTAATTCAAAATGTTACCAAATAAGGTTTCCTTGATGAAACTGCACCTAAAAGGTAAAAGACAACGGACTAACCTTCTCTAGAAACTTCTTCTTCGTCTAGATCAAGAACAGCCACAGGTAACGAAACAGGACTCTTCCTCTGATCTCTGCGTTTTCTGAACCACCACGCATATATCAATTTTAACAGCTAATTTGACACTTAGAAAACCGCAATCTCATCAGAACCATTTGAAAAGAACCGAGGAATAGATGATGAAAGTCATTGCATAAATTAGGGTTTCGTACCTTCTAGAATTAGTAGGTGGAGTTTTGAACAGCGGATCTGAGCGTCTCTTCTGTTTAGCATCACGATCCGGCGTATCTTCAACGACAAGCGACGCCATTAACAATGCTTCTTCGTCCCAACCAGCCATGGCTGCTACAGATCTAAATCCAGGGCTGAACACACAATTCCCTTTTTCTCCATTTTCAGATTGTTTTGGAGAGCTCCGTTTTGGCTGCTCATCCATCATTTTCTGAAGCTTCGGTGCTTTGTTGTGTCACAGTGAACGTACTTCCGCGTGTGCCCTTGAGAGAGAGAGAGAAGAGAGAGAGAGAGAGAGAGAGAGAGAGAGAGATGTGAATGAATTGCTGGATTTTGAATTTCTTTCTTCTTTCTTATTTCTTTTAGGACGATTCTAACGGCTAGTATTTAGAGGATCTGCTCACGCTCTATGGTAAGGTGAACCCTCCCATCCAGGCATCCACAACGACCACACACAACCGTCGATTAATGGGGTATATGTATGGGCTTGATCAGCCTGATGAGTGATAAGATAATAATCCTGCTTTGGCTATTTTCAAGAGCACAAAAACCGGATTTTTATTATCCAAACTTTAGTTGTCCATCAAAATTTTGTAAGGGCGTAAAAATTAGCCCAATACGATATATCGGATAGTTTATTATTTAACATACAATTCATTGTAAAGAGTTTCCGGGTTTCAAGTATCGACATGATCTGATTAGAAATGTTCTTTTCGACATATTTAGGTGCGCTGCAGTTTCTGTTAAGAAAGAGGCACCTGTGATGATTTTTCTAACTGACCCATTAGAAAGAATATCAACATTTATACCAGCTGATTTTTAGTAATTGGATGGGCTGGAGGAAAACATGCATGTGTGAATCTAACAGGGGTTTCCCCTCTTGTAGGTTGGGAAGTGGGGTTTTCACAGTGTGGCAAGCTGTTTTAAAAGTTGCATCAAGCAAAGTGGCAAAACATGAGAAAGCATGCATGGAAAATCAACACACATTTATACCCTTTACATTTGATACTTTCGGTTTCCTTGCGCAAGAAACTGTGGAGCTATTCAATAGAGTCCAACGGGTCATGCATTGTAATGAATTAGTTATGCCATCCAAAAAAAGGTTGCGGCACAACTTGTTTTGCCATCCAAAAAAGGGGTTGCGGCCCAATACGATATATCGGATAGTTTCTTATTTAACACCGTTGCCTCATAATCGATTTAGTCATTATATTATTTTTTTTATTCAATTAAGCCCCGAAAATCGGTAATCGTATTCAATTTAATCATTTTACACGGTCAACAGGTCATCCAACTTTTAAAAATTACTTTTTTTGCCCAATTTTCAATATTTATTATAAATTTGGTCCAAGATTTACACTTTTGGTCCACATTTTAAATTTTATTAAAAATTTGGTCCAGAATTTACCCATTTTGCCCAAATTTTAGAATTTTGTTATGAATGCATCATAACTTCACTTGTTTTCACAACTATTTTGCTCAAAAAAAAAAATTTGAATATGTTTTTTCTTTATAAAATCACTATTATACAAAAATAAACATATTTTCACATAAAAAGTATTATATTTTCTATATAATTTAAAAAAAAAACTCTTTTATAAACGAAATACCTATTTTTAGAAATAGGTATTTATTAAGTACATAAATAAATATAAATCCGTTTTTATAAAAAAAAATGTTTACAAACATGTATGTTACAAAAAAAAAAAAAAAAAAAAAAAAAAAAAAAAAAAAAACTGTATACAAACACCTATTTTATTATAAATACATTTGTATACAAACACATATTTATACAAAATGTAAAAAAAAAAACATCTATTTCATAGTAAGCGTATACATTTCTTTTGTAAAAACATATTTATATGCACCCAAATAAGTGTTTGTATATATTTATGTTGTAAACACACACACACACACAGAGTTAGGTTCAAATGTTTTTACTACTTATTGTGTGCATCTAGGATTGTTTTTGGACCAATCATTTTAGTTATTTTAAAAAAGTAATTAAAGCATATTAAATGTTGAATATGCATTAATTACTTTTTAAAATAATTGGTACACAATTAATCCTACATGCACACAATAGATAGGTAGAACACATAAACCTAACAATATCTATATATATATATATAGATATATATATATATATAATATATATATAGATATAAACATCTATATTATAATAAATGCATTTGTAGTCAAACACGTTGATAAAAGAAATGTATACAACACGATTTTATAAGAAATATAGACACACACCTATTGGTGTGCAATATATATATATATATATATAGATATATATATAGATATATAAGTGATATATATATAATATATATATAATTATATATGTGTGGTTGTGTGTGTGTGTGTGTGTGCTTGAAGTAGGTGATTTTTCATATATTTTTTTTATAAATATGTGTTTGCTTACAAATGTATTTATAATAAAATAGTGTTTTGATATATTTTTTTGTAAAAATACATGTTTTTATATATTTTTTTTATAAAAAGATATGTATATTTTATGTACGTAATAAATACCTATTTTTTAAATAGGTATTTCGTACACAAAAATGTTTTTTAAAAAAAGTTTTTATATAGAAAATATAATATTTTTTATGTGAAAATATGTTTTTGTTTGTATGAATATGATTTTATAAATAAAAAACATATTCGAAACAAAATTTTGAGAAAAAAAGTTGTAAAAACAACTAAAGTTAGGATGAATTCATAACAAAATTCTAAAATTTGGGTCAAGAGAGTAAATTTTGGACCAAAATTGTAATAAAATTTAAAATCTGGGCAAAAATTGTAAATTTTATACCAAATTTGAAATAAATTTTAAAATCTGGGCCAAAAATATAGTTTTTGATAGTTGGATGACCTTTTGACTGAGTAAAACGGTTAAATTGTATAAGAATACCGGTTTTTGGACTTAATTGAATAAAAAAAGAGATAATGACTAAATCGATTATGAAACTAATATGTAAAGACTTTATTGCAGTTTTTTCTATTTAAATATAGCCCAAATTAACCAAAATTTGTTGAAAGTCAAAGTTTTCACATATACTTATATTTCTCAAAAGTTATTTCACTGTCGTGCAATCAAATATTATGAACCAAGTAATCTAATTGTTGATAATATACGAAAGGGGGTGTCGGAATTGTCAGACTATATATTATATATAATATATATAATATATATAATATAATATATATATATATATATAATATATATATATATATATATATATATATATATATAATATATATATATCGGGTAGGGTTTAATGTGGATGGACCATATTGTGTGGATGTGTTGGATAATGCTATTATATGACGAATTACTAAGAGAATATGTTATTTCGTAATGTGAATACGTTCAATCTCACAGAACTATTGTTATTTTAATGGATTCTCACTAATTCTAATTCATTTTTGTTCTCATGAATCTTTTTTCATTTATTTTCATTCTTACAGAATACGAATCAATAAACATCCTGATAACATTATGACAGAATGAGAATAATTAAAAAAAAGTCTATAATAACCTTATAGACGATTTAATTAGTGAACATGTGTAATGATTACAATAATTATATAAGATTGAACGTATTCATATTATCAAACAACATATTTTCTTTGACATTCTCACATAATAGCATTATCCACACGTCCACACAATAGATGTCAATCCACATTTGAACCTAGCTCTATATATATATAGATAATATATATATATATATATATATATATCATATATATAGATATATATATATATATATATACACACACATACATACATACTAGGTTACAACCCGTGGAGACCACGGGTAAAAGATTTCCAAAATATTATTAAACTAATAAGATATAACTTTTGTTTAAACATTTATATTGATCATTTAAAATTAATATATAAATTTGTTTGAATATCCGAGAACATGCTCTATATGTGAAGGCATTTAATTAAAAAACAAAAGATAGTTACAATCATAAATTTATAAATAATAATAATAATAATAATAATAATAATAATAAAATTGAACATAACATTGAGCTAAAAATAAAATTATGTTTTTGTTTGAGTTCAAATGTAAATTCGTTTCCTTTTTGGATTTAAAATAAAAGTATATGTCTGTTGTAGTTAAAGGATATAAATATGTTGTTCTTTTTAATTGAAAGTAAAAATGTATAGTTTTTTTAGTTACAAGCAAAAATATATTACTATTTTCAGTTGAAAATATATGGTTTATATTTTATTTATTGCATTTGTAATATGTAATAATAAGTATTTGATTATACTTTTAATCGTTTAAATTTCACCAGTTCGATTTTCCTAGCGATGCATTGTCCATTTAAATGTAAAAATATATTACTACAAAAATAATATACATACTTATGAGTTAACATAAGAATATAATATGTTTTTAAGGAACACAAATTTCCACAAATGTAGAAGGATATTTGGTCCTTAAACCTAAATAAAACCACATTCACAGTTAATATATTCCTCGGTTGTTTTAAACATGTACAGATAATCTTAATTGGCGAAAAAGCAATCCACTTATGATCCCACCACAAACTTTTTTTTTCATCTAAAACTCTACAATACCCATTAAATAAAATTCTGAAAATAAGAAAAATTAATAATAAAAAATTAAACCTTACTCACTTTTAAAACCAACACCACATGCTTAATAATTTGATTATCTAATCCAAAAATATGTTGTGTAGGCGCATTTGAATCCACTATACTACTTAGCAAGAATGATTTCACGAACTTGATAACAGACCAAAGGGCCTGTTTTGAGCACTATCATTCATCCCTTCATTCTAGCGGCAACACTTCCAAAGTTTTAATCTTTCCTCAACTCCTATCAACATGTGAGACAACACATTAGAAAATAGATCAGTAAAGCATAATTTCTTCTCCATTTTTTTAATCTGCGGGTGAAAATACAAAAATAATATCAAACAAAAAGAATAAAACGTGATGCTACAAAAATAATATTAGACAAAAAGAATAAAACATGATGCCATGGCAGTTGAACAAAAAATGAATGAGTTCAAATATCATAGTCTACAAATCACATTCTCTATCCATTTGTGATATATTTAGCTATAATATAACAATCAATAGGAAAAAAAATCACTAATAAACTAAGTTCAACATAAAAAGAAGAATCACTCATAACCTAATTTCAGTGGTTGCTTAGCAAATATATTTTTAGGTTGTACCCCCAGGATTGATGTAACAAAGTAACAAAAGATAAGTTTTTACATTATGTACAATTTCAGAATTTTACTTTCAAATATAAGCTATTATTATGACATCCTTTGGAATAGCAACCAACTTTTAAAGTAGAATACTATAATAAACAAATAATCTAAAGTTTATTGCTATTATAGAGTATAAGTACATTTTGTAACCTGTAAATGCAAGAGGATGTTTGATTCCTTGTAGGGTCATCCAATCATGCTCCTCCCATTTTTCCCACTGCCACCAAACATTTTAATCTGTTATCAGAAAATGATATCATGTTTATAATCTTTGAAAATAACAACATAAGCTAAAGGATGAAATTTGGACACAAGCAACTTATTATATTCAAAAAGAGAAACTCCATGTGAGAAAAAACATTACCATAACAAAAAATGATGATACATACTTGATTCTAGAAACAACATGCCACAAAATGTCATCTTACCAGCAACATAGTAAGGTTAACCTTCATTTCAAAGAAGAAAAACACTAAGATTCAGTAAAAAGACATAAAGATGGGTATAAAATAAAAAAAGGACTTCGTGTGTGTGTGTGTGTATATATATATATATATATATAAACTACTAATGAAATTAGACAAAATCAAACATTAGATTAGCAAAAAGAGAGAATGATGAAGTTGTGAAAATGGTGGTGCATGTCGATTTCAAAAGAGCAAGATATTTATACATTTACCTATACCCGATCTGCTGCTTCCTGCTGCCATTAGGGTATCTGAATATTAACATACAGATAGAAAGAGATGGCGTGATGGTTCTGGGGTTATATGGTGTGCTAGGTCGTAGTGGTGGTTATGGTGTCGAGCTGGTGGTGATTGTCGATTTAGGGTTGTAAGATTTAGGGTTTTCGTTGGAGATGATGGTTATGGTGGTATGGAGACCAGCAGTTCAGCTTAACCCACTTGTAGTTTTGTTGGGTTTAATCAAGAATCAGTTCAAAATGAAAACCAAAATTGCAAACTATTAAAGAAAAAAATTGCAAACTATTAAAGAAAACGTACCTGTCCTCGATGTTTCTGCTTCAAATCTTTGAGGAAGCAACATTGGTCGTTGCTTCATCCTGGAAACGAAGGGGGTGTTTGGCTTAGCTTTTCACAATCCAAAAGTCCTTTTTGGAAAAGTTACAAAAAGTCAGGTTTTCCTTACTTTTCCAAAAAGTTCATTTTCCTTGAATCAAAACTCTAAAAGTAGCTTCTAAAACTAGTTTTGCCAAACATCTTTTGCTTTTTTTTCTTTTCCAAAAAGGACTTTTGGCTTTGAAAAGCTAAGCCAAACACCCCCGAAGAAGCGCGGAAGGGAAGAGAGGGAGATGGCAATGTTTTTTTTTTTTTTGATGTAGGGTTTTCAGCGACAGCAACGGCTATGTTAATCTTAAACGAAATTGGTGGAAAATTATTTGTCTATGAAATTTAAATAGAATAAGTGCATTATGGTCAATTCACTTTGAAGAAGTATGGATGTGGAAGTGACATGTGGTAAAATCAAGACTCTTTTCATAGAATAGGATAGAATAGGGATATATATATACTAGTGGTATACCCGCGCAGAGCGGCGGGGACGAATAGTTTTTTTCTGCAGTTAGTTTCATTCAAAAACATGTTATATTTTATGGAACATATTATGGGTGGCAAATATTTTCCTTTTAAACATATTACTTTTGGTAATTAGTTTACTTTTGAAAATATTTTATATTTTAAGGAACGCACGAATGACAGTTGGTTAGTAGTCTCTTTTCGTTGAATAGTTATATTTTTGTGATTACTTTCCCAAACACATTTGTGTTATGAAATAACCACATGCAATGTGGCAATACCTGCATAATGCTATGACGACGAATATTTAAGAGAATTGTAATATATATATCTGAGATGTTTAAAATTCCCAATTGGAAATATGGTGAATTGTACTAGTTTGATGTTATCAAATTGGTTTTTTCATTTTTTGTTGGATTGGTTAATCTTACGGTAAACTCTTTGACACTCTGGTTTGGTTTGTGTTCATGACTTATGTCAAGCACGACTAACTAAAAAATTGATAAGTCAAATATATTAATTTTTATATCTAATTTGATTTCTATAAATTTTGTTTCGTGAGTATGGACTTAACGAAAGAGGATTAAAATGGATAGAAGAAATCATAAGTCATTTGTATAGATCTAGCAATATTTTATAATAAGTCATCACGTGATTATTATGACCAATATTCCCAACTGTAATATACTTTTTAAAACATTGATCTTTAATTATTAATTATCAAAAACGAAATTAATATACTTTTACAAAATCATATGATATGATTCTTATTGGTTGTTTAATTTTTTTTTCTCTTTCTTGGTTAGAAAATGTCATTAAAGAAAATTAATGTTAACAATCTTTTTGCAAATATTATAGAAGCTAACCTTGTATTTTTATACAATCTTATTTTTAAGTTATTAAAATCAATATTTATTATAACATTTCTTTATACACTATAGAGATATCTGTAATTTTGAACCGAGGGTGGTAGTTGTATATAATTTCAACTCGGCAATGATTCAAAGAGACAACACATTCGACCAAATTCATATTTTCATATAATGGGGTACCCGTGCGATGTTGCGGACGCCAAATAGATTTTTTGGTGTATGGTTTCATGTCGGTAATTACTATGCTTTCAGAGGACGCTAAATAGTTTCTTTTCGAGGATTAGTTTTTTTTTTGCTAAACACGTGATATTCATTGAAATATTACAAAGACACTCGGTGGACACTTTAATGATCAATTTTAAATTTGTCGGAAACATGTCATATTTATCGAAAATAAACTATTCACCCTATACCAAATTACATGGTACCAAAATTTATTTGTGGTTAACCAAATATTGTCAACCGGTTAAAGTTAATCAAACTGCATTGCACGGATATCCATTTAAAATTTTGTTCAATTATCTTTTAATACAGTCAATTTGGTGCATCAAAAGAATTCGATTAAAATTTAATAATTGTAGGTTGGTAAGTGTACACAATCCTACTACATGAATCATTTTCAAAACTACAATTTTTTTTTTTAAAAAAAATAAATACTATAGTTTTAAATTTTCAGAATTCAATTAAACATAAATTATTGCAAGTTTAGCAAAAATAAATACTACAAATCTTATTTCTTTAAGGAAAACCGATATATCGTCTTGCTTATAAAATCATCATTAATTAATTATAAATTGCATTAATTTCTAATTAATATGAATTCCTGTTATTATTAAACATATTTTAACTATTTAACAAAAGAAATACCATCGTCCTTTCACTCCTTTGTATTATGAGGATTCAAATTAAGATCATGAAGTGTGTGCTTCAAATGGTTTTTTACAAAGCAAAATAAATAAATAAATAAATAAATAATCAAAAGGATATTATCATTCGGACAAACTTCTACAATATGATATTAAAGTTTCTCTTCCTCTGGTTCAGTAATCTCTTCCTAACTGTCACTATAGATGAGAGCTTCACTTCTATTTTGGTTACAGTAGATGCATCGCCTCCCAACAACTGGTCATCGGCCATTCCCTGATTTCTGTGATACAAAAAAAGAAAATGGTTCAACAATGTTCTCATGTTTATTTATATAATGTCATGTATTTATCCGGAAAAGAAAAAAAGAAGGGCAATGACTAAAAAGAAAGCAGAGATGATGAAAAACCTGTCCAAAAATATCCAAGTAGTAAAAGGTGGTGTTTTATCTGCAGGTGGAAGCTTAGTGCTTATGGAAATAGCTACTTCTTGATTGGTGGTGTTATATCACTTGATACTTGGCTGGTCAGAAGGCAAAGGGGATTTTTAATCCTCGAAGATAACATCTTATCCTCTCCATTGTTTTTATTAGAATGTAACATCCAAATTTTCAAAACAATTTTTCACATTTTATAAAACACATTTTCATTCATAATCGTTATAAAAACCATTGGATCACATAGTCAATCATAACATCATATCCCAAGATCATAATAAAAATCTCCCCGTGTGTGTACTGATCAAGCCGGCGCCTTCCCGCGATCCTCGCTGGTACCTGAGACACATAACACAACACTGTAAGCATAAATGCTTAGTGAGTTCTCCAAAATACCACACACAACGCATATTAGCCACTCGAGGCTATAACTCTGATGACCCTCTGGTCAAGGTGTCTCTGTGGGACCCTCCAGTCCCATAACTCTGTGGGCCCTCTGGCCCTAACTCTGTGGACCTTCCGGTCCTAACTCTGAAAACTCTGTAACATACATAGCATATAACACATAGAAATCACATCATGCAAAAGCATACAGCATACTCTGTCTCATAGCTCTAATTACCACTCTAGGTAAAGTATAGTGAGAAGACTCACCTCGGGTAACTCGGTAAAGCTCGAACTCTGTAAAATCAGGTCTAGCCTCCGCCTAATCATGTAAAATAAATACTCTCAATCAATACATCTCTCAAGGCTAGACTATTCCTCCTCTTAGTACTCTCAGAAGGGTAAAAGACCATTTTACCCCTCTCATAACTCAAAGGCCCCACTATAGACCAAACCCTAAAAGTCAACCAAAAGTCAACCCTCCGGGTTACGCTGCGCGTACCAGATGTGTACGCTGAGCGTACCCGGCAGTCTCAGAATCGGGGAACGCCTCCCCGTACGCCGCGCGTACTGGGATTACGCCCGGCGTAAATCCCAGTTTCAGTCCCTTAGCTCTTGAGGTCTTAAACAGTTAAGACTCACGTCCAACTTTTAGATCTAACCATTTTTAAGCCTCTTAATCCATAAAGTCGATGACTTTAAGCCTTTGCATGGCTGAACAAGTCACTAACACCCAAAATATACCATTTCCTAACACTAGAAAGCCCAATACTCAAGCATGATCTCATATCCACGACCAAGATGGGAACTTTATGGATCTACAACACAAATACCACTGAAATGGGACAGATCTAGGTCCATGGAGCACATTACACTCATAAAGTCTCCACCTTTGGGACTTTTAACTCTAAAATGGTCCATGAAGCAACAAACCAAATGAAAAGGAAAGTTTTGAACTTTATACCTCCAAATGCAGCTCCTTCCTCTGTAGATCTCAGATCCAAACTTGCACTTCAAACTCTAGTCTCCACAAACTCCTCTCCTTCTTCTTCACTAGCACACCAAGGCACTTTTAGCTCCAAATCACACACACTCACTAAGAACGATGAAAAGTTCTCTCTTAGGGTTTTACTCACTGCTATGGAGGCTGAGAAATAAGCCTTAGCATCCAATATATAGGGCACAAGTCAGAAATTAGGGTTTGCACCTGGACACATTACGCCCAGCGTAACCCTGAGTACGCCCAGCGTACTCAGACGAGTCCGCGTCCAAAATAAGCGCATGAGTACGCGCAGCGTACTCTTGAGTACGCCCAACGTACTTATTTGCTACCAATTCCTCTTAAGGGCTTAACTTGACACTTTGAATAAAAGAAGGGCTAAATAGTTGTACCTGAATTCCGGGATGTTACAATTCTCCCCCACTAGAACTAGACTTCGCCCTCGAAGTCTCACTCAACAAATAACTCTGGATACTGCTCGCGCATCTCTAACTCCGGCTCCCAGGTCATTTCAGAACCCTTCCGATGTTGCCACTGGACTTGAACCAATGGCACCTCCTTGTTTCTCAAAGTCTTGATCCTTCGATCCACAATCGCAACCGGTCTCTCAACATAATTCAGGCTCGCATCCACCTGAATGTCCTCTAAAGGAACCACTGCCGACTCATCAGCGATACACTTCCTCAACTGAGACACGTGGAAGGTATCGTGAATCTGGCTCAACTCCGTAGCTCCAAACGATACGCTACCCTGCCCACCCTGGCAGTCACCCTGAAAGGACCAATATACCGAGGTCCCAACTTACCCCTCTTCCTGAATCGGATCACCCCCTTTCAAGGAGATACCTTCAGGAGTACTAAATCACCAACCTGGAACTCAAGCCCCGAGCGACGTCTGTCCGCATAACTCTTCTGGCGGCTCTGAGCGGTCAGCAACCTCTGTCTGACCTGCTGAATCTGCTCAGTCGTCTGAAGTACTATCTCTGTACTACCCATCACACGCTGCCCGACCTCTCCCCAGCAAATAGGAGTCCGACACCTCCTCCCATACAACAGCTCAAAGGGTGGCATACCGATGCTCGAATGATGGCTGCTGTTATAGGAAAATTCAGCCAAGGGCAAGTATGTGTCCCAACTCCCTCCGAAATCCAACACACATGCCCGAAGCATGTCCTCGAGCGTCTGAATCGTCCGCTCACTCTGCCCATCTGTCTGGGGGTGGTATGCGGTACTAAAATGTAGCCTCGTACCCAACTCCTCATGAAACTTCTTCCAGAATCTGGAAGTGAAACGCACATCTCGATCTGAGACGATCGAGATCGGCACTCCATGCCGTGATACCACCTCCCTCACGTACAACTCTGCCAACCTCTCAGCGGAGGAGCTCTCACTGATAGCAAGGAAGTGAGCGCTCTTCGTCAATCTGTCCACAATCACCCAAATTGCATCGACGCCCCTCGCAGTCCTTGGCAATTTGGTGATAAAATCTGTGGTAATCTGTTCCCACTTCCACTCGGGAACCTCCAACGGCTGCAACTTACCATGCGGCCTCTGGTGCTCGGCCTTAACCCTGCGACAGGTCAAGCACCTCTCAACAACCCATGCTATATCCCTCTTCATACAGGGCCACCAATAATCTCTTCTCAGGTCCAAATACATCTTAGTGGCCCCGGGATGGATCGAAAACCTCGATCGGTGTGCCTCCTCCATCAATATGGTACGTGCCCCGCCCATAAATGGCACCCAGATCCGACCCTGGAAGGTCATAAGCCCTCTGCTATCGGTAACAAACTCTGATACATATCCGATAACCCGCTCTCTCTTGCGGTTCTCCGGTCTCACGGCCTCAGCCTGGGCCTCTCGGATGGTGTCCAACACCGGAGTCATCACTGTCAATCTCATACAAACGTCCCGTATCGGGGCGCTCTCCGCCCTACGACTCAGGGCATCGGCTACAACGTTAGCCTTGCCCGGGTGGTACAGGATCTCACAATCGTAATCCTTTACCACGTCCAACCATCTCCTCTGGCGCATATTCAGGTTGGGTTGATCCATCAAGTACTTCAAGCTCTTGTGGTCCGTGTATATGGTACACCGAACCCCATACAGATAGTGACGCCAGATCTTGAGGGCGAACACTACATCCCCCAACTCCAGATCGTGGGTGGGATACCTCGTCTCGTGAGGCTTCAGCTGCCTCGATGCGTATGCTATCACATGCCCTCTCTGTATCAGCACCGCTCCCAGCCCCGATATCGATGCGTCACAATACACCACAAAGTCCTCCATCCCCTCCGGAAGGGCTAACACTGGGGCTTCGCACAGTCTCTGGCGAAGTGTCTCGAAGGAGGCCTGCTGCTCTGGTCCCCATGAAAAAGCAACACCCTTCCGGGTCAACCTGGTGAGTGGCACGGCGATCTTGGAGAAATCCCTGATAAATCTCCGATAATAGCCAGCCAACCCTAAGAAACTCCTGATCTCGGTGGGGGATCTCGGCACCTCCCAACTCATAACCGCCTCAATCTTGGCCGGGTCGACCAATATCCCATTCTGGTTAACGAGGTGCCCTAGGAACTGGACCTCTCGTAACCAGAAATCACACTTGGAGAATTTGGCATAACGCCTCTCCGATCTCAAAACTCCAAGTAACTCTCTCAAATGCTCCTCATGCTGCTCTCTGGATCTCGAATACACCAGTATATCATCGATGAACACGATCACCGAACGGTCCAACATCGGTCTGCATACTCTGTTCATGAGATCCATGAATGCCGCCGGTGCATTGGTGAGCCCGAAAGGCATCACCACGAACTCGTAATGCCCGTAACGAGTCCTGAACGCTGTCTTCTGGATATCCTCATCTCGTACTCTCATCTGATGATATCCAGACCTCAAGTCGATCTTGGAAAACCAAGACGCTCCATGCAACTGATCGAATAAATCGTCGATCCTCGGTAAGGGGTAACGGTTCTTGACCGTCAGTTTGTTCAGCTCCCGGTAATCAATGCACATCCGGTGTGAACCATCCTTTTTCTTGACAAAAAGGATCGGCGCTCCCCACGGCGAGCTACTCGGCCGTATAAACCCCTTCCCCAGCAGCTCCTGCAGCTGCGAGGATAACTCCTGCATCTCTGGTGGCGCAAGGCGATAGGGCGCCTTGGCGATAGGCGCTGCCCCCGGAACCAAATCAATACGGAACTCTACCTGCCTCTCGGGAGGCACACCCGGCAACTCCTCGGGGAAAACATCTGGGAACTCGCGCACTATCGGGACCTCATCGATCGACCTCGGTCTCTCTGCATCTACTCTCGTATCCACCACATAAGCCACAAACCCACTACATCCCTGCTGTAAACTCTGCCTCGCTCTGGCGGCCGAACAAAATGCTGACCCAGAACGGGAACCCTCGCCGTACACCGTAAGTACTCCCCCACTGGGGTCTCGTATCGTCATCAACTGTCGCTCACAGTCAATCACAGCTCCGAAACGGCTCAACCAATCCATGCCCACTATGACACATACGTCCCCCATAGCAATCGGGACCAGATCTATAGGAAACTCGACACCGAAGATATCGAGTACACATCCTCGAATCACATCAGTAGCATACACCGTTCGCTCATCAGCTATGGAAACTCGTAGAGGTCGACTCAACGCCTCACGCTGGATACTGATGTGCTGACTAAACGCTAGTGACACAAAAGACCGACTCGCACCCGAGTCAAATAACACCAAGGCAGGTACAGAACACACAAGAAATGTACCTACGCATATCACATATAAGCATAACACTACAAACTCAAAATGAACAGAGAAAAGAATACATACCAGCTACCACATCGGGTGCTGCGCGGACCTCCTCCGTTGTCAACTGGAAGGCTCTCCCGCGAGCCTTCGGTGCCTCAGCCTTTGCCGGCCAACTCTCTGTAGCTCGAACAGCAGCAGGACCAGATCCCTGAGAAGCTCCCTGAGCTGACCCTCGTAACTGTGGACACTCGGCCTTCCGGTGTCCGGTCTGGTTGCAGTGAAAACAGACTGCAAACCCCTTGGGGCAATCCTTGGCCATATGCCCCTCCTTGCCACATTTGTAGCAAAACCCTGCTCTGCACACTCCATCATGACTCTTGCCGCACTTGCCACAAGTGCGGCCCCTCTGGCTCCCTGATCTCGAATCGGCAGGCTTGGCCCGCTTGGCTGCCGGCTGAGACTGTGTCGGTCGCCGATCCC